TGCAACCTAATAATTTACTGTACATTTTTTTGGTTCAATCAACTGTTGTGCTTTGCATACACAACTTGGACTATGGAAACCTTCTAAACTTAACTATAAAAAATTGACTTGTGATAAGTTGTCGAAGTTAATATTGTCAGACTTTTCTACGATTGAAAAAGAAAATATTTATTAGAGCGAAGAGAGAAAATAGAAACAAGTAATTGAGCAATGGATAATGTATCCTCCTAAAAGAAATAGGAAAAACTAAGAATGAAACAATGAGTTCTTATTATTTGGTTTTATATTGTAACCATTTCATACAGCAGAAGAAAATTTGAAAAATATGAGGAACTTACTGTCACTTTCAGGAGTGGCATGGAATGATTGTTATAGATTCTAGAAGACTTCAATACTGAAAATGGAAGTAATTAATTTTTTGACACATCCATCTTGCTATTATAGTTTTATCGTTGTGTCAAGGCTTACCCTGCCTAGACCCCACCAGATGGAAGCCTCTTGCACTGGGCTGCCCACCCATCTTGATATTACAGCCTCTTAAGAATGTTACCCTTGAAGATAAAAGGATAGGATAATATAAATCAGGGAAATCTTATATGGTAATGGATGGTGATAGCTTTTGTCATTGCTCGAAAGGACATCTTATTTGGGATGGGGTTACTCTTTGCAGTCTCTTCGGTATTCTGCTCATGATCTTTTTAGTGGTATTTCGTTGTTAGACATATAGAGGGGTTGGTATGCTTCGCTGCATGATAGTTTATTAGGTTTTAGTTGTTAATGTTTGTTCTGTCTATGAGGATGCTCTATCCTCTTTCTTTGTAACCTCCTCTTATTTTTTAGTAGTTTAGTGATTCTTTTTCGTTAAAAAATATATTTTTTCTTACATGCTTTTCTGCTGTTACTTCATTTTCAGAACATACTTAACTTGCTTATTTCTCCATCATTTTAATCATAGTGAATTTTTGGTTGGTACTGAACTGCTGATGTCTTTGCTGAAAGAACTACTAATATTATGTATTTAATTTCTATTGATTGTATCTACAACTTGTTTATAGGTAGATAAGCCAATGAAAGCACCAATTTATATCTATTATCAGCTTGATAACTATTACCAGAACCACCGACGGTAAAGGTTCTTCACTTTCTTCTTTTAAATGTTCTGATGAACTGTTTAAGAAAAAATAAATATATTAGTATTTTGAGGAACTCATTGCCTAACTTTTCCTTTTATGATTTTTCCTTGTCCCTTTCACATTAATCTCCTTTAATGTATATGTTTGTTTCTAATGGTCTATATATCATTTACTAGTCCCTTCAAAATAATTTGTTTGAAGGCAGTGCTCTATGAATATATTCAATGGAGCAAAGCTGATTGTTTACCCTGTTACGAGATAGATGGGTTTTCTTAGGTTGTATTTGGATTTTGGACACACTATTTTTCCAATGTAATTCTGGATTTGTTTTCCCCATGTTTGAATTTCTATCTCTGTTAATTTTATGCACCAATTGTTTGAGTTGAAACAGGTCATCCCTCCCATTCTTAATTTTTTTACAATTATTTCTACCCATGTGGTTGATTTGGCTTTGGACTTTAATATCGTATAACGTGTCTGAAGTATTTTAGGCTTAGAGAAGGTCTCTTTAATTAGAGTCTATGAAATATATGTTTTCTCCATTCTTGCTTCATTCCTTTCCACCAATAACAAAGCTTCAACAATGTTTCCAGTTTTACTTTTCAACTACATTATTTATTTCTCTTCTGCTCATTCAAATCCTCAAATTTTGTCCAGGTATGTCAAAAGTAGAAGTGATAAGCAGCTCTTGCATGGACTTGGATACAATGACACCAGTTCTTGCAAACCTTTAGAGTCCTCTGATGATCTTCCAGTTGTACCTTGTGGGTTGATAGCATGGAGTATGTTCAATGATACATATAAATTCAGTCGTGGGCCATCAGAGTTGAAGGTCAATAAGAAGAATATTGCATGGAAGAGTGATCGCAATCACAAATTTGGGAAGCATGTTTACCCATTTAATTTTCAGAACGGGACCTTAACTGGGGGTGCCAAGCTGGATCCAACTATTCCTGTAAGTACTAATATTTTGAATTGTATGAATTGCACTATTAGAGAATGCGTGTAAAAGTGAAAAAATAATATTTAGTAGCATATGCTCCTCCGCTCCTTATTACAGAAACCAATGAAGATAGTTACGTTTCTTGATTTTTTAAAAAGATACTAAAACATTACAATTTTACCCCTTAGTTGGTCTTGGAAATTTTAAAAGAAATACTGTTTCTCATTAATGGCAAAGAAGAGAGAAAAAGAAATAAATGCTGCATAGAAAATATAGTGTCTTACAAAAAGGACAAGAGAAAACTTCTAGAATGCGACTTATAAATAGGACTGGAAGGAGTAGTAGGTTAAACTGAAGTTCAAGTTTGGTGTTTGGGTGGGTGTGGCATTGGGAATATGCATGTCTTGTATATTATTTTTTTCCTCTTTTGTTATTATTTACCGTTTTTACATCCTGATTTTACTTTTCACCCTTAAGATTTCTTGTGTATTGATTCTAATGAGTTCCATCATGTTATTTCATTTCTCTCTGTTGGTTGTTCCGATCCCATATTTCAGCTTAGTGATCAAGAAGATCTCATAGTCTGGATGCGGACTGCTGCTCTCCCTAGCTTTCGAAAGTTGTATGGTAGAATTGAAGTGGATCTGGATGCAGATGATGTTATAGTAGTCCAGCTAATGAATAACTATAACACTTACAGTTTTGGTGGAAATAAGAAGCTTGTTTTGTCAACATCAAGCTGGTTGGGTGGAAAGAATAACTTCCTTGGACTTGCCAATTTATTTGTTGGCACCTTTTGTATATTGATCTCCATCATCTTCCTGTTGCTTCATGTGAAAAATCCTAGGTAACAACAGCATTCATAGTTTCCCAATTCCCTTTTATTACTATTCGCCTAAGATCACTTTATAATGCATTTTTGCTTGGAGGATGCTGAACAATGCAACTTTTAGTTTCTTTATCATGTAAAATCTACTGCATGATAGCATTTCGATTCTTTTATATTTCTTTCCCTTACTTTTTCTGATCTGTTAAGTTATTAAGATATTTTTTCCTTATTTTGAATTTCATATAATGTCATGGTAAAAATCTTCTTTGTACTGTCAGTAGACAAGTGTCAGGTCATTGTAGTAATCAAGGCTTGTGATTTAGTAACAGTTTTTTTAAACCGGTGGTGTCAGTGTCATTGAACCTAGAAGTAGGTCAAAAGATTAAATCCTGCTTTCTGAGGGGCAGAAGCAAGAGACCTCTTAAATGATTATGAATCATCCAAGACTTCAGAAGAAAACATGCATGGATATGAGTGACATGTCTATACTAATTATTGTAATTGTAAACTAGAACTGTATTTTTAGTCATGGAATTATATGAAACTGAAAGCATAAAAACTTATGGCATAGAAAAAGATTGAGAATGTGCATATCATGATCATGAAGAATTCCCAATAAAGATAGCATGTTCTGTTCATTTTTTAAATTTATTCCCCCAAACAATTATTGAGCTTTGATGTTGTTTAACTTTTATGCATTTTTTCTCTTTTGGCAGACCTTATGGGGACACAACCTACTTATCTTGGAACAAGAAAAGTATTGCTAGCTTATAAGGTACACCTACAACAGTAAGACTGGTATTCTTGTCAAAAATGGCATTGTATTTGGTTGTCAATAGTAAATCACATTAAACATCTCCTTTGGGTTTAACTATATTGGAAATAGAAAACTATATGTGTTCATTTATTTTGCAACGTGTTTTTACAGCGCTGATTTGGTTTATTAAACCTTAATTGCATGGCTCCCTTCACATAACAATCTATAGCAATGAAAATTATCCAGATTGTTTGATAGTTTTATCTCAAACTATTTATTTATTTTGCATGACAGAGCAACCTATTTCTACGGGTGGAAATGGAAGGGGCCCTTTGTTTTTGGTTTTTCATTTTTAGCTTTAGCCGACTGAGTGGATAATGGTATTGACACTCTTAGTTATCTATCTACACTATTTACTATTAAGCATGATTTTGAATTTGTTTTCATAAAACTGTGATTAGGAGTCCTACAACTATAATTAGGAGTGTCAATATCTTCACCCAATTAAGTATCTGTTTAAACTTGTAATATTTTGGAGAAATTTTGCCTCGAGTCTCGACCTCGTTTATAGACCAATGACTGCTTGTTGACAGCTATTAACCTGCAGTCACATTGTAGGAAAAGGCATTTATATGATATATACATACAAGAGTCCTACAACTATACAAAAAACAACAAATTTGTGTACTAATTATTTCCTAAGTAGTTGCCCCTTTAAATATTTCCCAATTTACTGTCCTGATTATGCTGTTAACAGCTGACCAATTGTTTCCTAAGCCTATAGATACTAATTATGTTAATCTTGTCAAGGTGTGTACAAGTCTGTTTACTTGTAATAGCATTCTGCGCAGAGTGAGGGTCCACTTCAATGTGTTTTCCACATGATTGGACTACTTGCCTGGTTATTATAGTGCATAGTCATAAGATTTGCATATGTAACCCCAAATCTTCTAGAAGAGCCTTAAACCAAATTAGCTCACAGGTAATATAGTAGAATGATTTGGACACTATTCAGCTTCGGCGCTCGATCTAAATTGTTTGCTTGTTGCTCTTCCATGTTACTAATTGCCTCCTACAATGGTGCAATAACTCAAATGGTTATTCTTTCTAAATTGTAGTTCCTGTTCTGGAGACTTATAACCATATCCTTGGAATATGGTATTGGAAATGTCAAAGATGTATTGACATTCTTATTCTAGAAAATAGTGAGTTAATATTGCTTAGGAATCAATTTTTTGTGGCTTAGGAGTTATATCTAAATGCATTTGGTGCAAGTAGTCTGCATTCAATTTTAACTCTATAAATAGATCAATCTGATAAGTGATTTCTCATTTAAGCATTCTCATAACCATAATGTCCCAAATATAATCAGTCCTTCATTAACAGCCACCAACCAGCATACCTACAGAAAACCTTCACTTCAAACCACCTCAAAAATCTCTTGACAAAACCTACCCATCACGCGGCGCCATCGGAATTTGCCTTATACACTGCCAAAGCACAACCGCGTTTTCAGCGCATCTAAGCCACGCGCAGTCCTACCGTCGGCCAAACAGCATGCCACTGGTCCTGATCAACTTATCACCCTATCTTTGACTTTGTCTAGGTGGTTACATTTTCGGTCATCTGTTGTTTATGGGTCTCTTCCCTTCTGTGGTTGCTGTTTTATGTATTTTGCTTCTGTTTCTGTTTCAGTACTTGCAGTTATATGGCTGCTGATTCTTCTGATGACTCCTCTTAGCTTATACATAGAATGCCCAGTCTTAAATTATAAAAAACTGATTATGGTTCGTTACAAAATATAATAATAATTCTAAGAAAATATTGTTTAAATATACAAAAGAGAAGAATAATTTCATAATCCAAATGCTATATGTAAATTTGCAAATGATTGAAAAATATATGTAATAGAAATGAATCATAAATAATGTAGTGACATTATAGATAATTTCTGCTGATGTAACATGCATAGTTCATTTATGGGATATGCTCTTTGTGTATTCCAAGTGCACTGTCTCAGCAGCAAAATCTGTTTTAAATGGTTTTTTCTTCAATAAAATTATATTTAAATTTAGGTTGTGTCTAGTTGATAACTTAAAGTTTATTTTATAATAGTCAATCAATATAATCAATTATTTGCAGTGGGCAACGTTATGTGGCATTATATTAGACTATAATAAGGTCTAGTTTTTTTTCATTTTTCAGAAGTCGTGTGGTACCGTAACACAAGTGCATTGGAAAAATAAACAAATTGATTATGACACTCGAGGGTAATGTTGTAACACTGTCCCATGTAACCATGACACATATTTTAGTATATCTTTCCATGTTTAGTCCTAATTTGGATAAAATAAATAATACTAATACCTATCATAATCAGCAAATAAAAAAATGCCTATCACAATCTTGCACTATAATGCCATTGATGATTGCATTGCCATGAATGATGGATTGCATTACCTATCATTAAATTGTTTGATCAATATTTACTCTAACTTTCTCTTGGATATGTTGGCGAATCTAGCATTCAGCATATGACAGTAGAAGAAACACATGTGCAAAATTGCACCTGAACTCAAAATGTAGCCAGAATCAATACATGGAGAGTAAGTATCAATTTTAAATCACAATTTTAATGTGGTAAGAATTTTAAGAATGTTATGATAATTGTAATTGTGGCTATATTGACTGTATTTTCTTCCCATTATAATAAATACAGTATAATCACAAATACATCTCCAATTTAAAAACATTGGTTTTAAGTTATGACCACCTCAAATTTTTAAGTCACACTTTAACTATTAATATTTTTTTTAAATGTAAATTCTTTCCCTAACCTTCAATATATTTTTTTTGACATTTTTTAAATAAAAATGTCACATACCACAAATGATTTAATCGAATTCATGTTTTTTCTTCATTAAAACAAGTAGGATCCAATGTTAAAGGAATGTCATATTTGAAGATATATAATAGTTAAGGATGTTCAAAACCTGTTATTGTTGATCATAGATATGATGTGTTTGATGATAATGATAATAATAATATTCTTTTATAACGTGGAGGTCTTTGCTGAATCTAGATAAGAGTCGACCTTGAATTACCTGGTTGGGTACCTGAAAAGACATTGTCATATTCAAGTGAGTATGAATGAAGATATGTTGATTGAATCTAAGAATGCAAGATTACAAGAGAAAGTATTAAGTATTAACTTCTTTATGAGTTGTCTCCTCTATTTATAGATGGATTGAGCATAGTATATTTGCTAGTAAGATGCTTTAATAATGACAAGGCATCTTGCCAAGTCTGTTCCACACATGTATATATAGGTTATTTCATTCGTGTTGAGCGGCCCTGTCATGTCTGTGTTTTGGATGGTATAGTGCTTTACTCAGGGTGAGTTGTTTTGTCGCTTGCCCAAGTTGTTGGAACTATATTTTTGGTATGTCTTCATCGCATATAGAGGATGACTCATTGTTCAGATGGTGCGTTCAACTCTGTAGTAGTATCTACATTGTTCACTTGGCATGACAATCCTATAGAAGAGGTCACGTGCTCACTAGACCATGTCTTCTCATTGTCGTCTTTTCCTCAGCTAGGTCAACCACTTAGGCATGATCGACAATTGTAGGAACCAAATATTGGGTATCTTCGTGTATTCCACGTGTATAAATGAATGAGTCCACCATCTCGGCAGCAAAATCTGCTTTAATTGGTTTCTTCTTCAATAAAATTATAACTATACAATAAAATTAGATTTTAATTCGGGTGGTGTTTAGTTGACAACTAAATGTTTTATTTTATTATAGTCAATTAATATAATCAATTATTAACTTAATTCTCTATTTTTATTACGTGGCATTGTATTACGTCTATTTTTTATGTCACTTTATTTTAAAAAGGTTAGTAAACATAATCCAACAAGTCTTAGAAAAAAATGATTATAATAACGAAAGTTGTGTGACAACACAACTGGAATAATAAAGAAAAATTGATTATACATGACAAAAACAAATTCACTTTGCTATATAATTTTTATATACAAGCAATATTTATTTCAAAATAAATTATTATAACCAACAAAGTGTTCTTCAGTAATGTAAGGTTTTATAAATTCTCATATATGAAGTAAAAGGTTAAATGTTCGATTATTAAGAACAACATTTGTTGTGAATAGCAACCATACATTATAAACCATTGTAATATAGTTTTAAAAACTTACATGTAGGTCCATTAGCACAATTTTGACATATAAACAATTTAAATAGATCATCGCTTTAAAATCACTTCCGCATAATATGTCTTTCATTTCTTTTAGGAGATGATTCACGTACTCCAAGAGTAAGTTTAAAAACTTATTCCACATTTTATTCATCAATTCTAGAGAAATTTATTGATTTGAATTATTAAGTAAATACAAACCATTGAATTTCCCTAAAATTAATAATTAAGATGTAAAGTAAGTTTTTTTCTTATTGAAATAAGTGGATAGAGAAGAATAAGTTGCTACCTTATTAATCTTCAATTTACTTTTTGGACCTTCTACTCATCAATATATTAAATTAATCCAGTGTTCACGTTATCAACTCCTTAGAACATACGTTTTCTTATTTAATGGTGGTTTGATTAAAATAATGCTATAATATAATATACCTGTTATAGTCAGCAAATTAAAAAATACCTATGACAATCTTAATTATAATGCCGTTTCATCTCATATATTTTCATATTTAATGCTGGTTTGATTAGAAACTTATGTTATGATATCCATCACAATCGTACAATATTGTAATATTATCCCATATAATCATGATAAATATTTTATACATATTTCCTTATTTAATGCTATTTTGCTTTGAGACATGTAAATGCACGTATATGTATATGTATGACTAGAGGTGTCAAAATGGGCGTGTTCGTGGCGGGCCAACCTGAAATTTTGTAGGGCTTGGGTATTAAATTTGACACTTTTTAATGAATCCGGGCTTTTTAGCTCGGCCCGGCCGGACTATATTAAAACCGGGCTCGGGCCGAGCTTACCCGGGCGGGTTCGGGCTACCCGTTTTCTCTTATTTTAAAACTTTTTTGGGACTTTTTGGCTAGGTAATAATAAGCTTAAGATGAAAATTATTTTACAAAATAACTTATGATAAAAAAATAGATAATATATACTAAATATTGTAAATATTGTGTTATGAACTTTGAATAAAAAATAGAATAATGTCTATAACATAAATATTTATAAATTACAATAATGTTATCAAGTTAATAATTATATTATTTTTCCTATTTTGCTTAATATCATTTTAAGCACATTAGCAAAATAGTGTATCAAATTAACTGAGAACATTAAACCATATAGATTCTATTTTTCTTTTTTTAATTGTATATTTAATTAGATTTAACTTCTACAACAAAGATAATAATGAAAATAATTTTTACAACGAAACTGAAAAACAACTTAATTGTTTACCGTAGAGAACTCAACACAACCAAATTTAACATAACAGTTCACAATGAAAGTGTTGATAAAGAGCATACAAAAGATATCCATACACAAAGTAAAGAAATATTATGATGATAGTTATACTTCGACACATAGAATTCATTCTGAATTTGAGTCTATACTATCATTACTATAAACCAAAGTGATATTATTTTTTACTGTATCCATTTATTATATTGAAGTGAAGTTACAAATTATATTATGTTAGAGATTGAGATTCTAATATAAATAAAATATTTAATGAATGAGTTTATGTTATGAATGACTTAACATCATGTCTTAGCTCAAACACATAGTATTATATCAATAAGTTTGGTTGCATTGAGTATAACAATTGTGTTAAAAAATTTATACATTAATATCAAATGATATATATATATATATATATATATATATATTAAATATGTTAAAATTTAAATAATTTTTTTAATATTATGCGGGCCGGCCCGCCACAACCCGCAACCCGCATAGGGCGGGCTTGGGCTACATTTTGATATACATAAATTGTATCCGGGCTTTTTAGCTCGGCCAAGTTTAGCCCGAACTCGTCCGGGTAGCCCGTTTTGACACCTCTATGTATGACACCCCTATGTATGACACCCCAACTTGAATATGTGTTCACCTAAACTTAATCCAGATTTAACAAGGAAATCACATTTTGATTAGAGGTGACAATAATATTTATATCATGAGTACTCGCTAAAATACCTATAATAGATATTTGCAAAAATAACTTATGGTGTAAACGAGTATTATACATGCCCCACAGATACCCCATATTTATTAATTCATTTTATAATTAAATATTTCACACATATATATTACCTATTTTATTATTATTTTATAAAGAATTTTAGTGATTAAAATATAATAATATTTTAACATGTATATAAATTTTATTATTCATGTAATAATAATTTTATATACATTTATTATTACAAAATTTATAAATATATATTTAAATTTAAAAACTCGATGGGTACGCATACATACTCATACACTCATACAGGTACCCACATACAATATGAGTATGGTAGTGGAAAACATTACTGACACCTATTCCACCCCGTTCTCATCCCTAATTTTGAGTGAGTTTCAATTTTCACAATTTCAAATAATAGGTTTGAGGTTCTTTTTGGTATAATTAATATCCAATAAAAACCCAATTTATAAATAAAAGTCGAACTACAAAATTATTCTATATATGCTTAGTTCAATTTTCACACTTGAACTTAGCAGCCAACGCTACTTCTGATAGCAAAAAAAACTTTAAACTTATTGGTACCACTATTTGTGGGGCTTGTTCAAGAAGTTCAATGGATATGGTACCCTCAGAACAATCAAAAAAATCAAACTTAATGATTACAAGTCACCAATTCCCACTTATCTCTCCATAATTTATGCTTATAGGTCTAACAGTTCTGAAATTAATTTAGATATGAGAAATAACAATTTAAGAGTACAACAATATATGCATATTAGATGCATGAATGGTGAATTAAAGCTAAGTGGGTAAAACATTGGTGAGGCCTTAAGGTGGTTTTAGAGGAAGAGATAAAGTTTGATTTACAAAAACACCCATTTCATTAAAACACCTTATAAAGGTCGAGGTTTATACTACCGACCCTACCCGCTGATACCGTTTGAAACTATTATTTACGGGTCTGAATATGGTTGGGTTCTATCGGATTTAGGGTTTAATTCAAATTCAAAAATTAAACCCGATAAATATTTATGGTCGGAACCAAATAAATATTATTATTATTATTATTATTATTATTATGTACAAAATATAATTGAATCTCAAACTTTTGCTCATATAATTGAAAAGTGTTGAATGCCACCTTTTTTGAAGTATGGTCCCATGGTAGATGTGCCTTCCCCATAACCTACCCAAAGCTCACGTGAAAGTACCCTTCTTCTTCACCTCTCCTTTTCCTCTACCAATTACTCCTTTTATACCCATAAAATCAACCACATGTTCCATTCAATTCCCTCTTCAAACACTTCGTGAAAAATATTAATAAGTTCTACTCTCTTTTTCTCTTTCTCTCTCTTCGGAATTTTCTCATCCGTTGTTTCATCTGAATTCATGGGCTTCTCGTTTCATCCAACACTCAAATTTCCCCCACCCCTTTTCTTTCCATTTCAGAAAGATTAAATCTTTCCTATGTTCTTCATCTTCAGAACCAAAAACATTTGATTTTCTTCTTCTTCTTCTTCTTCATCTTAGAAGCTTAGGAAAAATGAAAATGTCAAAATCTCAGGTGTGGCAACCATGTAAGAAGAAGAGGTTTTAACAAAAAAGAGAGAGAGAGAGAGAGAGAAAGTGAAATAAAGAAGATGACGTCACGTTCAAGTCATGGTCATGGTAGTAGTAGTAGCAGTGGAAGGACCCGTGTGGGGAAATACGAATTGGGTAGAACACTTGGTGAAGGAAATTTTGCAAAGGTCAAATTTGCCAAACACGTTGAAACTGGTGACAATGTTGCTATCAAGATTCTTGACAAGGAAAAAGTTCTCAAGCACAAAATGATTGGCCAGGTTTGAATTCATATCAAATTATTTAGATGAATCATTTGTTATTTTGTTTGAATTCATATCAAAGTATTGTAATTCTTTTCTGGGTTTATTCATTGATTCTTCTTTGTGTTATCAGATGATTTATTTTGTTATTTTGTTTGAATTGATATGAAACTATTGTAATTCTTTTCTGGGTTTCAACATTT